GGGGGGGACAAAATAACCAAGCTGAGAACTTTTCAGCCAGCTCTGAAAACAAACTCCTAGTTGAAAACAAAAGAAAAAAGTGGGATGTTATTCCAGCAGATCCATTCCTAAAGCACTGAGCTAGTTGGGACTCAGCTAACATCTCCCTCCAAGTTAATTCCTGCCCACCTTGAAGCTTGAGTTGGCTGACTTAGCAAGCACTGTGCATCTCTTCGAATAGCCAGGGTTAGAGGAAGCTGAGGAATCAGCAAGCAGCAGCAGCACCTGCAGATGCTCTTCCTCATCTGCTGCTGTTCTCCGGAGGAGGGGACAGTCATTCAGGCCCTGTGCCCTGCCCTGTCACCTGACACAGACCTAGCTTCGCTGCTGCAAGTAAAGCAGTGCCAGGAGAAGTGGTCTTTCACAGCACATGCTACCATACCTTCCTAATGAAAGGCGGTGCCATCCCATCTGTTCACAGTACCCATGTACAGGTTTAAACCCCAGCTTAGTGTCTCTTCCGAGGGTTGCAGATGGGAGCGAGGCCGCTTTCACTCCAGCCCCTCTCATTTGGATTCTTCCAGTCAGGAGAGAGCAGCGATGCCAATACCGTGGGTTAACGCCAGCCGGTGGCCAGACCCCATGCAGCTGCTGCCTCACACCTTCCCTCCCAGCAGGGCACGGAAGAGAATCGGAAGGGCGAAAGTGAGAAAACTCATGGGTTGAGACAGACACTTCAGTAAGAGAAAAAAAGAACAAACTCACTCACACAAGGATGTGAAAAGCAGTTGCTCACCACCAACTGCCCAATGCCAGTCTCTGAGCCACCGCAGCCCCTGGTAAACAACCCCCCCCCCAGGTTTAGTGCATGGTATGGGATAGGTACAGGCTATCCCTCTGGTCAGCGCGGGTCCCGCCTGCCCTCCCAGCCCCAGCCTACCGATAAACACAAAGCCTCGACTCACACAGCAGTAACTCCAACATCCCAGTAACTCCAACCACCTTGTCGTGGTCGCAGATCCAGAACACTGCACCATACCAGCTGCTGCAAGGAAAGTTAAGTCTGTCTTTGCACAAGCAAGTTGCCTTAGCTCCTACCCACAAACAGCAATTCTGAGAATAAATTCCTGACCAAGCAATGTTTCTTAGAGCCACAAGTATCACAAATGGTGCTGCTTTGTCTCCCCGCACTCAAAGTTCCATTCCAGCAAAGAGCAGGGTGTCTTGCATGAACTGCTCCCATTTCAGCAGAAGCTTCGATAATTCTCCCACAATCAAAGCTGTGTATTTATGTCATGACTGAAGGGGTAAAAGTCATTAACTAGTGAGATACCTTTGTATGATTTTCAGTTATTCTGAACTCAGCACGGAACATAAATCAACAAGTTCTAAGCACACAGCTCCTTGAAGGTGTTTTGTGCGCTAATGATTTAAATTTTTAACTCATACTTTAGTTTTCCTTTCCTTACATGCTCTAATAATTCCCTGAAGTTTATGTTCATATGATTCTTTTTTTGCCTTTGAGCAATGTATGAGGTATGATGTTCCAAATGATGATGGATTTGCACACATTTATCACCACCCCCCCCTTTTTTTTTACACTGCAAAGAAGAAAATAACAATAAAGCAATTTAAGTGTGCACCTTCCTACAGGTTCAATTTATCCAGCTGGACCAATTAAGAAAAGCTAAATCTCAATTAGTAACAGTTAAAAACCATGTTTGTCATTTCTGGAATAGTAATTAAAGAAGAATTAAAATTTCTAGATGAGAAAGCTCTTCTTCTATGTCTAATGAAACACACTAGAAGAAACTGTGACCTTTTAAACAGCTAGAAATTAAAAGATGGCATTAAAACTTCCATAGAAGCTACCAAAAAACCCCCAGAACAAAAAAAAAAAAAATCAAGAACCACTACTTTAATGTGCTACTTCAGAGAGTATTTCCATGCTGAATACTTATGCTGACAACTCCTTGTGCCAGATCCAAGACCTTCTGAAGTTCTTAATATATATTCTGCCATCAGCTTCAAAGGGAACAACATTTGCCTTGCAAAATAATTAAGAAAGCTGCAACTATTTACAGGCAACTTATTTTATGATAGCTTTGGTTGCAACAGCTATAGAATTTAAAGACAATTAACTGTATGAGTAATCTGATAAGCAACTAATTCAAACACTTTAAATATAAAGATAATTAACTCTCCAGATTTTAAATAATGAGGTCATAACAGTCTATACAAAAAATGTTCCTCTGAGGGGAATGGGGGTGGGACATCTTTAATATGTATCCAGCATACACATTTAACTATTACACATATAAAAAGGCAGTTACTTTTATACAGAAATTTATTGTGCAAGAATGATTTTCATGCTCATTTACAATGAAATAATTAGTTTTCACAAATAATCATGCCATTGCTTAATTTCAACACTAAGCAGAATATTTACATTCAAGTTTACACGTTTGTTCAAGTTCCATGTACGATATTGTCAGAATTAAGTAAGAATGCATCTTCAGATCAAAGTTTGCATTTTTTACATTAAAATATCACTGCCTTTCAGACATTTACTGGAAATGACAATTTCCTTTCTTTGCAGTACCCTCATTTCCCAGCTACTGTACTGGAAAAGAAAAAAAAGAAAAAACAAACCACCAAAACGGAACTTGCAGAAATCAGCACCACAGACGTCCATACATCTCCAATTAGCCAGTCACTTCCCACTTGTTACACAGCAAGTGAGGCTGCAGCTTGCCTCTGTGTAACAGCCCTTCTTGGAGGGCTGTTTATGTCATCCTAGCAAGAGATCATGTCTTAAGAACATGAGCCTCAGGACAATCCTTTCACAGAATTTTATATATAAAAAAAGATCTGTTATGTCAATATTGAAGTGCACAGCTTCTCACAGAACCTAACACACTTTGGAACGTCTTGGGGTTTGGGGTTTTTTTTGGTTTTTTTTTTTTTTTTTTTTAAACCAAAGGGATGACTAGGAACACAGTATCATGGTCTGGCAACTTTTAAAACACAAAAATGAACAAAAGCACCCCCAAAACATTTGCTGTGTAGTAGTAACTTAAAGAAAAAAATAGACCAGCAGTTTACAAACAGTTGAAAAATATTTTTTCTGTGCAAAAATTCAAACTGTGACTTTTTGGTGCTGCTTCTTCCTCTTCATGCTATATAAACTAAGACAAGTTCAGACTTCACCTCACATTTTATTAGCCTGGGCACAAATCTCTTGCTCCTTCGGGAAAGGTTGCTAATAGAGGCTTTTCTCAGTTACCTCCCACTCACCCTGACCCCCTCTTGTTTTTCAAACTGAGCTGAGAATCAGCTAATACAATATGCAAAATCAGAGACAGTTCTGAATTATAACTTGTCATGGTCCTGTAAACAGCTGAAAAGTGTGAGAGAATTTTTGTTTACTTTTACAGTTGCATGTGATGCTTACTATTTTAATCCATACTTTCATATCAGTACTTCATTTTCTGCCTAGGTTTCAGAGGGGCCTGTAATTGTAACAGAAATAAAGTGTACCTGCCAATATGCTGCCCTGACTATTACATAAAGGACAAAGAATAGTGATTGTCTTGGCTTTTGGCTATTAATGTTATGGGGAGATACTGATTTTGAAGATGCAAACCAAAAAAATTCCCACATTTTAAACAATCTTTATATTTGGCAGAGACTATTTCACTTTTTCTGTCTTCACGTTGTGACATCTCCTCCAGAACTTGTGGGTTGAGAAACAACTGTAGAAGGCTGTACTGGTAACATTTCTAACTCAGACTCACGTACGAAGATAACTGCATCGCCACTTACATTTATTAAACACTGGGCCTGAAGGCGGGGGGAGCAGAAAAAAGGACAATACACAGTTACCAAACATTAAAGAATTACATATTTTATGGTTAGTATTATCTGCTAGATGTAACTACGTGGATAATAGAAAATTCAGCAGAGGTCAGAGAAGGACAGATTATTAGAATTTATTAGTGAGGCAACCCCTGCATATTTCCTTTTATATCTACTCACTTGTGTGCTATCAAACATGTAGATAGATTCTTGTAAGACCACCAGAAATGAAGTATCTGGGTAGCTGTACTTCCTTTCACGACTGTTTTGGACATATTTCATGTACCAGAACAACCATATTCAGTTGTCGCCTTTACTAATAAAGTTTTACCCCTTTATGTCCAAAATGGAGCATTTTATAACTGCAACTCCACATAAAAAGGATGAAAACCCTAACATTGCAACATCAGAAAAACCAAGTATGTTCAGAACTACTATTCTACTGTTTCCTGCAATTTACTCCATTCTACTGAGCTTAGTACTTTTACCCGTTTGGGTATTTATGAAGCACATTTGTAATTTTGTGCTAACTCAAGTGTTCCAAGAATGCTCTTGGCTTCTTTAAACAGGCATTACGATGAGAGATCCAGAAGTGTTACACAGACATGGCTCTTGTTTTTTAAATACCTAAAACGTCTATTTGTGTCATACTGGTCATAATAGCATTGTTATTTCATATAATAATTTACCTGATTTTTGTTTGGATTCTCCATAAAAACGCACTGCTTCATTATGTATGAGACAACGGCATTCCCCCCTAAAGCTGCAACATGAGCTCTCACCATTGCAAACACTTCAGCAATAAACGCATGGAGAAAACCACTGACACCACCCTCCTAAAATGGGGAGGGGAAAAAAAATAAATTATGTTAGGTATTGCTACAAGAGGCTGAATACTTTTCTTACATTTTTATCAGCTGAGTATTTCAGTGAATTCTAAATGGTATATTGCACAGAACTTAAAAGCTATTCACTGTTTCATGGGTCACAGTTAAAAATCAGACCAATGGAACTGTTTGAGTAAAAGAATCACAAGCAGGTTATTAATTTGTGACTGGTATTCTTTGCAGTCAGTATATTACATGCATTCATACTTTCAGACATTCTTACGTCTGCAGGAACGTGTAATATTCCACTGACAGTTGAATAATGAATTTTTCTTTCATAAGGAAGGATACTACCCCCTTTTTTTTTTTAAACTAGGGAGCAAATTAATAATTTCTACTGAGGATTAAAAGAGATTTAGACTTCTTGGAAATTACTGGTAAGGAGTGGCCATTACCTGTGGTCACTGCAACTTCATGTATGCTAATAACTGTCATTAGTTGTCAACATTCACTAGAGAAATGATTCCTCAAAATACAAAGCAAGCAAAGGACAAAACAGACACTTGAGAAGCAAGCTATTCAAGTTTTTCCCCTGAAGCTCAAAGGAAATTCTAGCCATCCAGTTTCATTATGTTTTTTTACTTGATGGTGCTTGTGGGGAATTTTTACTTCTTTAGTGCCAAGCTGTATAATTTAAACTGCTGTGAAAGGAGAAAGAAAACAATGACGTATGTTGGTTTTTTTCTAGACAATCCTTATGAAAGAATGTGAGCAACTACACTGGGGGTAAAAACCCAGTGCACAAAAACCAGGCAACCAACCAAAACCATAAAAATCCATAGAAAAAAACTGAGGAAAGAAACTAATGAAACAGAGCTCACTACTGGTTCAAAGTATCTATAAAATTTCAAATTGAAAGGTAAGACCACTAGACTTCCCATGTGTATGTGTGCCACTGGAGAAAATGAAAGAGGCAGGTAGAAGAAGAGGCTAGCTAAGCTGAACTTCCAACAAATATGGAAAAAGTATAATCTACCCTGACTAGACTCTCAGAAGAGTCTTAAAAAAAAAAAAAGTATTATTACTGAGAATGCAAAGAATGTAATATTAAAAATCAGCAAAAGTTATATATGATATGGGAAACCTCGTATTAACCAAAGAAATCTAAAATCCAAATACACTGTGAAAGTTCATCATTGAGCTTGCTAAATGAGAGAAGAATGGAGTATCTTCTTTTGCATTTAAATTAACCTCAGTTTTGGGTTCAAATGATTCCATCTACCATTGTTGGTCAAAGACCTATTTTTTTCCAAATAGTTCTGCTTAAGAATTCACTGGTTTAGTGTTATACCCAAATTTATCAACAATGACAATGGTTAAGTTAACCCCTTCCTAACGTTGCCGAACACAAAGCAGCTCCATATGCTCTATGACAAAAGCAGTGCAATGCGACTTACTCCCCATTCAGCACCTACCCTCAAGTGACAAAAACCCTATTCCCTTCCTGTGCCATATCTCATCTCAAACCTCTTCAGATATTTACCTCTGATTATTGTAATTAAGAAAAAATGCTAATGCCTGATATACAGCTCACCTCACGCAAAGAAGTGGTTTCTCGTATAAAAAACATGTTGATTATCCCAAGATATTTGGTTATTTTTGCCCCAGGTAGAAAAGAAAGAGGTGTCATCTTAACAACCGAGACGGTAGAATTGGTGCATGATGGAACAGAACGGTGCCGTAAGTATCCCTCAGCCAATGGACTTGTTTTATCAAGTGAAGCAGCTAGAAAGATGGGAAAAAAGGAGAAAAAGTAACTAGCAAGTAAGCTCGATTACTGTTTCTCAAAACACAAAAACTCTTCTTTATGGTTTCCAAATAGCTTGCTGACAACATTCAGCTGCCTGTGATGCTCAGCCATATCATGTGAGAAAGGAAATTATCATGCAATGCATGCAAAAGGAGACAAAAAGCTGAAATGGAATTTATTTGGAAGAGTGTCATTCCTGCAAAGGAAAACATTGAGGCGAGTAGCTGCACATACAACAATCAGTTATAAAGTGAAGGTAAAGAAAAAAGTGCCAACATTTTGAAATACGTATTCTGCTGGAGGAACAAATTATAGGAAGTGTGAAAGTTGTTGTGTTTCCCCAGTGCAGCATTTTCTATTAAAACAGATATTAATCTCTGCTAATTAAAGCAAGATAGTCAGACCTGTGGCCAAAGAACTACTGAAAAAATCACTCACCACTTGCTAATTTAGTGACCATTGCCTTGACTGTCACCTTGGTGATTGCTTCCTGTTTCTCACCAAAAATTTTCCAAGATCATACATACACCTACATCCATGCAGTGTATGTTATATAATTAGTAGGCGTACACATTTATCGGTAACTAATTTTTACTAAGTGAACAGAAATACTGTATTTTGCTTTTTTATGATACTGGTTCATAAACCCTGTATTAGCTTACAAAGACATTAACAATGTCGGCAGTTTTCACGCTCGGGTATTCACTCTACATGTGATCTGCAATACTACTGCTGGGCAGGAAACTCCACTATTCACCACTGGGAAATCAGAGATATGTCTCAGATTATCATAACGTGGTAGAAACAGCCGCCTACTTGTCTTAATTGATCCGCGCCTTATGGTCTGAGCTTTCAGTTTAATGAGCTCTATCCAGCTGTTGCATCTGTCTGCAAAGGAACTGTAATCAATTGACGTTGCTGAAAACACAGACAGAAAAACAAAAGAAAAAACAAAGAAAAAAAATATGGATGATGTCTCTTGCTCATCTCAATGCTCCTTTTGAGGAAGCAATTATCTGTGTCTGAGAGAGAACAAACATCCCCTTCCAGGTCTGTTTAGAGGAAAAGTTACAGTATAGGTCTGGACTTGTCCAAACCAGTGTACCGATTTCTGGTGATGTCCCAGCTGTGAACCAACTGCCTGACTGGGACTTCATCACTGAAAAAACATGCAAATACAGTCATTAACGACTTATGCTAGATTATTTTTTTTTTTTAAAATCTCATTTTAGGTATTAAGTGCTGGCTTCTTTAAGTTTATTTAAGCCTTGTTTAATTTTAATTTTCATTGCTATTCTTTTCCTCACGAAGAGCTGCTGATCATGATTTAAACTTCCTAGCTATCTTTAGCAATACTGAACCTATAAACTAAAAAAAAGCTTTGGGGATGAGGGTAAGAGTCACAAGCTGAAACACCTCAGTTTTAAACACAAATGAATTTTCCTTACAAAATGCTGTCCTTCTTCCCCCAACATCCCCCCCCCAACACTCCCCTCCCTCATTACCACCATTACAATGAGAAGTAGAGTTGTTTCTGCTATGACTTGATATTAGTTGCAGGGTGTTTGCATATCTTTATTTAAAAAAAAAAAAGTTTTGCAAACTCCATTTCTTCATTATCCTGAAGAAACAGAAGGAATACATGCTAACTTCAAATTAAGACAAGCAAAAAAGCTCTCTCTCAGGGAACTAATTTTCTGTCAGATAAAGTGGTATCAATATATCTGACAGAAAGACACTGTTACTATTAACAAATCTGACTTTTGTAATTAAAAAACACATTAAAATATTATGATATCATTAAGCCACATCAGAGCATGCATTCTCAGTTAACTAGTAAACACTTCCTGGATTAAGACCATCCAAAAAGAGTATACCAATATCCCAAGAATGCTCATTCTGTTCTGGCATATGGCTAAATTAAGTAAACTCACCTCTCTGAGCAGCAGGCAGACGTGTGAGGGAACTTGCACCCTCCAGGGCTTCTAGTAAGACAAAATTAATTCCATTCAGAAAATATATGAGCAGAGTCATGTAGTACAGGACAACAGCTTTCTTCTTATAAAAAAAAAAACAGGTTTAGAGTAAAATATGAGGGAAAAAAGTCTTCTATATATACACTAGATACTCTGACAGCACATAATAAATTGGTATAAATAATTTTACTAAATCTGTCTTGTAAGTTATAATATGATCATTTACTAAAGGTCATTAGTATATAAGGCTGTATACAAATATTTTTAAAATAACAATCTTACATAAAAGTATGTTAAAAAAAGGTCTAAATAAATTAAATAAGCAGCTAAGTAAATGTAACTAGAATGAAACCTCGAGTCTACTTGTGAAGAAATGGCAGATGAAAGAATTATCTAGTTGAAAGCCTCTAAAGTGATGTACAGTACAATAAGGAATGTAAAGAACATCAGAAAAAGCGATATACGTGAGCAGGCTACCCTCTACTGGTCAGTGCCCATTACACAAGTAGCACAGTCTAGTAACAGTGAAAGAGACGCCAGTCAGAAATTTCTGGATAGCTCCTCTTTTCGAAAACAAAAGGTTAACAGTACATCATAATGTGACCAATTAAAAGTTAAGCACACACAAATACATAAAAATAATAATAAAAAAACAAACCACAAAGCAATAAGAATACTGACCTCTGAAAATAGAAGTAAATGTGGTAGGCACTCTCCTTTATACAACTTAGATAACGGGCAAAAAAAGGGGAGCCCTAACATTTCAGTAAAAGAACACTTACAATAATTCACAGATACTATATTTCCTATCACTAGCAATTTTGGTGGGTAGATAATCCAACAATGAAGAAGGAAGTAAAGACAGCTGATTTCAATGAAGGATGGCTTAATTTTTAATACAGTCATAGAAGAACTGTGACAACCGTTCTTGAAATGCAGCTCTATCTCAGGTAAAATAAAGCAGCTGATTAACAGCTAAAAAAGTGCTGCACTGTACAAATTGTTTATTATGCAAATTTAGGCTCCTTTCACTTAAAAAAAATACATGCAATTTTTCTCAGGTGAACAACCATATTTGCTTGATAAAGTATTTCCCACCATGAAAACTAGAAAATTAATTATTTGAGGCTGACAATACATGGGAGTTATTTTATATGGGTCATTTACAGAAGCAAAGCACTATGAGGCAAGCCTAATTATCAAGTAATTTATAATTCTTTAAGTCAAATGACACCAAACACCCAGTGGTTTGCAGCATTTTCAATACTCTAAATGCAAAGATAGAAGAACTACAGGAACTCTACAACAGAATATAAACAGAACAATTAGCCAACCCATCTTATCTGACCCAAAAAATTTTACTTTAGGAGTGAACATAACCATTATGTTAGGTAGCAAAGAATATTTAAAGCATATGAAAGTACAGATATTTTAAAGCTACTGCAACAATGAAAGAGCAGGACTCAAAATCAGTGAAAAACATTAGTTCAGTGTTTTCCATTTAACTGACCTTTAGCTGGTGAGAACGGTTGAGAAGCAAGTGGATCAGAGCAAAGTTCCAATGGAAATTGTAGCTGTTCTTCATTGTCTGTAGATGCTTTAACAAAGAAAACATACCCAATTGGTAATTAACCCCCAAAACAAGATTTGTCAGCAATAATAAGCACTACAGTTTCCTCTTAATCAAGTCTGACTGGAACAGATTTTTTCAGCATATGCATACAGTGATGCAGTTCTGTATGAACAGTTAGATGTCTGACAATAAATCCAGCTGCAAAAATGAACAGAACCCATATTCCATTGAACAGGATTTAATTTAGTATTTTCAGGAAAAAATATTACGTCAATTTATGTATTTTAGATTTGATTCTGCAGTTATATTAGTTAGCTATACATTACAGTAAAAAGTAATGTGCTTTATTTCACATTAACAAAAAATTACTGTTACTATATAAGAAGTAAGGTATAACTAATGTTTTAGAAACATATGGCTCTGTTCTACTACCCAATTCCATTCTTCAGAACGGAGTATTTTCAACGTTCTGTCTAAATTCCCATACCCAGACTGCATACATACATTTCTAGCATAAGATAGTGCTTTATTAGCAAGATGACACAGGCAGATTGCAGTAGTCTCCATAATGCTATATGCTTCACTGATCTCCAAAAATATTACTGACCTACTTAAGGGGTTTGGGGATTTTTTTAAAGTATTCTGAATAATTTATTTTCTGCCTTCATGAAGTAAGGACAAAATTTGCTACATAGAAGAACAAGTATTCTCTAATGACTTGCACCACATGTTTCAAAATACAATGGAAATATCGTCATCTGTTATGCTAAAAAGAAAGATGGGAATAAGGAAATACAAGCAATTTTTTCATGTTACTGTAAGTTTGTTGACTGTGTACAATCAAATACCTCATACTTGGTAAGTCATCCTGATGGAGGTCACATATACGAACTCTAAAAAAACTTCTATGTTACGACTTTATAATTTTATAGAACTTCCCCGTTAAAATGTGTATATGTAACTGAAATTAAAATGTGGACTCATTAGATACTGTGGAAAAAAGGGAAAGAAAAATATTATCACTTATCATTACATGCCACACATTTACCTCTTTGTTGTGATTTTTCTGTAGGGGCTTTGTTGGCTTGTAACGCTTGGTTTTTGTCAAATGTAATTGCAACAGCTGTAACTGCAATCTGCGAATCAGAAATATATGGCATATTAGGTAACAATCTTTTGTGCAATCACCAAAAATAATTGTGCAAACAAACCAGCTTTTTCCATAGAAAAATAATGGGGAGGAATCATCGAGGTAGATGTATTAAAAACTCTTCACATCAGAGCATAAAAGGTAATGCTAAGGTCCATTGTTAGAACATACACCTGACAGTGTTTGTCTCACGTTTATGATTTTGTTCATCAGTTCTTTCCTTCTTTCTTGGTGAACTGATATAAAGAACCATAAAAATTCACTATCGTTGTATTTGTAAGAGAGCAAGGAGATATTTAACTGATCACAAGAATGATGCTATATTTCTGAAGAAAACATTTCCTTTAAAAATAATGAAGTATATTGCATCACCTTGAAATGCCAAGAAAAAAATTAAACAATTATAATGACAGTATACTTAGAAAACTAGTGTGCCGTATTCTTGTAGCGTATGTGGTAAGGGCTTTTCATTTCCTATCTAAAGTTTGTTTCCTGTCTAACTAAAAAGATACACACTATTAATATTCACTGTACTCATGAAATGCCACGTAGACTCATGATTTTCAAAAGTGGCAAACTCAATAGGTCATCCTTTTTCTTCACCAAACATTATGGCCTTAAGTTTTACTTCAGAATTCATCAGACATACTAGTAAATCAAATTGTAGCCTAGTTTACTCTGAGCAGCAAATGTTAATTAAAGGCCAAAACTGGCACGCCTACATGCTGAAAGTCAAAAGCAGTTTTCTTACCTGAACTAATTCATCCTCTGGTAGAGCAACTGTAAAATTTACATGACAAAGGCAGCAGGGAACCATAGATCGTAGTTTAAAATACAAGCTCTGTTGAAGACAAGACATTATTTGTGTTACTCTAAAAAACGTATGGTTTATCTCAGAGAAATTAAAGATCAAAACTCTTTTCATAGTAGAAATCATCTCATCATACAATTTTTTTCTTGAAGAAGAATTACGGATGTGGAAAGTCGGAATAGAATGCAATCTACTGTGCAGCAGTCTTTGTATTTCTGTTTCTAGAGTACACTTCCAATGAAAGGCCTCATTCAGATTCAAAAAGCTTTGCAAATCCTTAATCTACTAAGAAGGCTGAATCTATCTTTAGAGCATCTTAGAAACTAATTACAGACACTTTGTAGTCTAATTCCAAAAAGTAATTATGAAGAAAATGTTATATTCAGTATAGCCTGATTTTACTTTGGTTCCATTTGAACAATTCAAAAAATGTTTGAAATTAAGAATCTTACCTTCAACAGATTCTCACAGAGATCATTAAAGTTCTTATTAAGTGTTTGATTCGTTAGGTTAACGTTGCTTAATCTGGATACTCTTACTGCTGTGAACATCTGAATTAGAAACAGACTTATTTTTTTCCCCAATATGTGCTTGTATGTTATATTAAAAACAAAACAAATTCATAAAGACAGCAAATAATGCATAATGGGGGGGGGGGGCAGGGGGGGGGAAAGGAAAGGAAAAACTGTAGCAAGAGTAAATCAAGTAATGTGCTTATTGCTCATGAAATTTTACAAACAAAAGGTAAATTTTCTGTGAACTAATGTAGATGAATATATGAAACAAGTGATTAAGCAAGACATTAAATACTCTATGTTCTTTTTACTTGCTTCATAAAGGAGTCACTACCTGCTACATATTTTGTTAACTGCTGTTCAAAATTATATGTTAATTGTGTACAGTCATGTAGACAATAATGGAATGTCATATACCGATTCACAGGCAGTCTCCTCAACCTGAGAGTATGCTGCTGGTACATACATATTGTTTTTGGGGTTGAGCTGTACCTCTGTAAAGCAGAGTCTTCCATTGTGCCAATTAGGTGTAAAAGCTCACTTATAGAGTTAAAACTGATCTACCTATGAGACTGAATTGTGTTGTACAAAGATGAACAAAATGTTTAAACTTAATTATAAATGGAATTTTTCTCTACTCACTGTATTGGCTTTATCTAATTATTAATTATCCTAACCTACTAATGTTATCATATTCAGTATCTTACAGTGAGCTGGAGAGGGACTGTTTACAAGGGTATGGAGTGACAGGACAAGTAGTAATGGTTTTAAACTAGAAGAGGGTAGATTTAGATTAGATATAAAAAAAATCTTCACTATGACGGTGGTGAGGCCCTGGAACAGGTTGCCCAGAGAAGTTGTGGCTGGCCCCTCCCCGGCAACGTTTCAC